AAGAATCCAAGTGCAACCGATTAGAACTAATAATAATCAGATGCATACAGATTAGAGATGCATGCGCCAACATCTCAGTGTTAGTAGCAAAAACAATGAGTCTTTCTGCAAGGAACAATATATTCTAAAATGAAATGGAGATCTTTTTTAAAGTTTAAAGCCTCATTCAATTTTATGTCTTATAAGGTTTATACCGAGTACAATAATGTATAACTGTATTAGTTCAAATGTGAACCTAAAAATTTAGAGCCAATATTGAAAGAGTTTGCTCTGGAAATTGTTATTGAATATGTTAATGCTGTAATGAAATGCTTCTAATCATGTGGTTATTAAATAATTTAAAAAAAAAGTATTTTATTTTTTTGTTATTTTTATTTTACATGTATGTGAATGTATTGCCTGCAAGTATGTAAATGCACCTGTGTCATGCGATGCTCGTGGAGGCCAGAAGAGGGCATTGGATCCCCTGGAACTAGAGTTACAGTTAGCTGCCACATGGGTGCCAGGATCTGAACCCAGGTCTTCTGCAAGAGCACCCAGTGCTCTTAACCCCTGAGCTATCTCTCTAGCCCAGACTAGTATGTTTTACATTCTGCCCTTTGTTAAAACAAGCAGGAGAGCAGGGAAAGAGTGAGGTCCAGAAAGCCTTATATACAACCTTATAAAATTAGCATATGAAAAAAAATTGGCAAAGGCTGGGACCATCCTCCTAACTAAAACAGGCCACAGGTTCAGGCACAGAGGCCCTCCAGAGTATTCCAGAGTAACCTGTGGCTCATTATAAAACTAAAACTGGGTTGGGGAGATGGCTCAGTGGTTAAAGCACTTGCTATGCTTTAGTGGACAGGAGTTTGGTTCACCAGAACTCACATAAATGCTGAGTGGCTGTGGCAGCCTGCCAGTAATTCCAGCCACCGAAGACAGGGGATCCCAGGGATAAGATGGCTTAGGGAGACTGGCCATATTGGCAAACTCTGGGTTTGATCAGAAGAGCCTGAGCCTCAAAAGAATAAAGTGGAAGAGTAACTGAGGAAGATTCCCAACATCAACCTTGGGCCTCCACACACGTGTACCCACATGCATATGCACCCACACCCATACACACATACCACACATACAAACATGAAAAAAAGGAGGAAAAAAACCCCAACTAACAACACATATCTCTGAGTAGAAGGTCAAGCCACTAATGAGATGTATGATGCATGGAGTTGTGTATACAACTTCATGTAACAGAACGTGCATGGATGAGCCCTTGGTCATGCAAATGAGTCAAAATACCGCAACTCTGTACCATGGGCCCATTTAAGCTACTGAGCTTTTCTCTGCTCCTCCTCCCTTGGACTGTATTCTTCCTTAAACTCTCGAGCTTTGCCAGCTGTCTGTATGTCCGTTCAATTCTTTGTTCTGGAACACAAGAACCTAGAACTCCAGGTAGGTACCCACTAAACCCCAATACTGGCCCCATCAACAGAGTCCTGCTAGATAGCCCAGGCTGGCCTTGAACTCATAATCTTCCTGCCTCCACACCTGCCTTACTTTATTCAGGCCTCACAAACTTAAATTATTTCCCTGAAATTGTTTCTTTCAACTTCAAAAATATGTACACACACTCTGCAGTTGTAGAGATGTGCTGTCCAATGTGGCAGCAACCAGTCCAGCCGCAGGTAACTAACTGTACACCCTTAAGTTTTATTAAGATTGGACAAGAACTCAGTTCCCATGTTCATACCATATCCTCTCTGGGGTCAAAGGAAACAGATTCCTTTTCTTTTTTCTTCATTTGATGTCTTTCAAATTATAAACATGAGCTGACTAACTTAACAAGTGAAATGACAGGATACGACGACAAAGGTGAAGCTGATCTTAGGTACGGACCACTAGTGCACTTTCAAGGCCTCCTGTAGCCAGCAGCCTGTTTTTGTGCCTTCTAAACTCCTCTACTCACTCAAACATATACATAGAAGTAGTTGTTTTTATAGAAACATATTGTAACCTGTCTTTGTCATTTAACATTACATCATGGGTACAAGCTGTTAATTGTACTAAGTTCTCTTTGCTTTTACAGCTCCTGAGAAGAGACGCAGCTGTAGTGTTCCTGGACATCTCTGTCTACAGATGCTCTGGGTGTTCCTGGACATCTCTGTCTACAGATGCTTTCTCTGGGTGTTCCTGGACATCTCTGTCTACAGATGCTTTCTCTGGGTGTTCCTGGACATCTCTGTCTACAGATGCTTTCTCTGGGTGTTCCTGGACATCTCTGTCTACAGATGCTCTGGGTGTTCTTGATGATCTCTGTCTACAGGATACTCTGGGGTGTTCTTGATTATTTCTGTCTATGGGATGCGCTGGGGTCTATTTCCTGATATAGGGCTGGCTTGTTATAAGGCATTCTTACTTACAACTAGTCTACTATACTTAGCAGCATTAGAAACAACTCATTAAAGCATGAATATGTAATGAGCAAGAGTGCCTAGCCTGTGTTTTCCTAAAGGAAAGGTCTCATGGAAGCTAGCTAGCCAACCTGTTGTCACGGTCTTTGCTTCTTAGAACCTGTCTGTTTCTTACCAGGTCACCTGGCCATCTCATACCCATCCACAGGCACCTTTGTCTCTATCATCAGGGCTCCTGGATTCACTGTTTTAATCCTTACATTCCCTTTTCACCTTAACATCTATTCCCACTCTGGCACAATGGGAAACTTAAAGTTTTCCCATGGGTCCTTTTCCCCTACTGCCTACCAGGAGCTAACTCAGTATGATGTGTACAGGCCTAACACTTGTTGGTCCATGCGGTTTTGGGAACCTGACTAGACATATTCCAACCCAGCTGGGACATGAGGTCTCTTTCTTCCTGTGAAACATGGGTGACCTACAGCATACCATCCTCCCTCACAACATCTCCTCCTGTTAGAAATTGCTCCCTCTCAAGTTTCTCACAGTCTGATGTGGATGGCCCTTTCCTGACAGGGGAGGCATGGCCTTAGACCCTTCCCCAGGCTTGTCTGGAGAGAGGCTGGCTGCTGCAGTGAAGGAGAGTCTCCCACAAGAGCTTCCCAGGGCCCAAACTCCAGCTCATGGAGACATACGAGGAAGTTGAATGGGAGCTGGAGCAGGAGACACAGGTGAGTCTCAAGGTCCTGCTCCCAGTTTCAGGCTGCCTGCTCCTGCAATG